CGCGCCCCGCACGGCCCCCCCGGGCGCTGCGCTTGCATCCTCACGCCCCTTCCTTCGCGTCTGCCCTGCCTCCAGCCACTTCCCACGATCGGCCTCAGCTGCTGCTCTTTGTCTCGCCCTACCCTCTCGGCTCGCCCCACTTTTCTCCTATAAACCTTTGTGGTCCCAGCTCGGGCCTTCCCTGATCCCGTTCCTCCGTCCCACTTCCAGTCGTTGGGACGTCCCCTTTCCATTTCTCTCTCCATCACACTTATACTTTCGGATTCTTCCCGTGGGCTCCGCACAGTCCCATTCTCCTCCTCCTCCTCCGGTCTCGCCGTGGACTCCCCCGGGCATTTCCTGCTCACCTTTCATTCATCCAACCAACGTGTATGAGCCAGACACTGTCCTGCGCCCTGGGAATATCACAGTGAATCAACCGCGAAGCCGGCCTTTGAGGAACCCACAGCCCCTGGGAATGGGAAGGTGGATGTAAACATCTTTACAATGCCACTCTACTCTCGCTCTGAACCAAAAGGCCGGGGAGCAATAATTACAATACACAGACCAGGGCGCTGCCAGTTCAGAGGACAGAACAGTTCCTTCTTGTAATGTTTCTCCCCTTCCTCACTCCCCACGTTCTGTACCTTCCCTAGCCTCCTGCATTTTCTATGCAGCAGTCTTAATAAGGGGACGACAAGTTGAAAGAAACAGTAAAACAGCGGATGGAAGGAGGGAGGGAGGGAAGGAGAAAAGGAAGGGAGAGAGGGAGGAAAGGAAGGGAGAGAGGGAGGAAAGGAAGGGAGGAAGGAGGGAGGGAGTGAAGGAAAGAAGGAAGGAAGGGAGGGAGGGAGGGAGGAAGGGAGAAACAGGGCAGCAAAAGAATCAGATAAGAAGTTATAAAGCGCAGTTCACCAAACTCCAGCAAAAATTGATCCTGTGCCCAGAGCAGGATTCAAATTCCTCTGAAATCCATCTGCTTTGATACATGCATTAATTATTCCCTTGTCTACAAATTGGCACTATGGGAGCTGCTGCTTCATTATTATTAGGCCACTGAGGCGCCATTTAGAACAATAATTTACTAGCTAGCACCTGCCAAACACCCAGCTTGTCTTCAGGGACAAATGGGATAAGGGGGAGTCAAAAAGCAAATGGATGCCTTAATACTCCTGTGGGATAGATGCTTTATTTGGTCGAAAACTGGAAGCTGAAACCCCTCTCAGAGTCTAGGTCACCAGCAAGCCAGATGCTTGAAGGAGCTTGAAGCGATCTGTTCTCAAGAGTATTTTAGACTTTTATTCTGAAATCCTGGTTATTTTTTAATTTGCATTGACTCAGACACTGGCTAAGCTTTGTGACCCTGGGGGAGGCATTTCACCTCCCCGAATCTCAGCTTATGCGTATATAAAACAGGCATACTCATACTTGCCTGTCTGTAGAGTTAAAAAGGTGAAATGAGATAATATAAGGAAATCACCTGGTGCCATGGATCCTGAGAGGTAAGCCCTTTTGAAAGTTGTTTTTTTCAAGAAAAGTCTGAAAATATATGCCATAGACTGGCATGGAGAGAATGAGAATCAAAAACAATTGTGGCTCTTTTGGCTCCATATCCCCCCCCCCCCATGCAATAGATGTCCTTCCCATACTTATGCTATTTCATTTTGAACTCTTCAACTGAAAATATTTTTTTCTCCTGCTGCTCATTATCAAATATATTATTTATCACAAAAGTTTTTCTTCCCATAGCTCATAAACTCAGAATTTACTGTGCATTCAAGGACAGAAATTGCTGCCAGCAAATGCATTTTTCCAATTGCTCCCTTAAGATTGTTTTTTTCCTTCTAGAGCTAATATTGAGCTCTGAGCAGTATTCAGTCAAACACAGAGAAAACATAGAAAAATTGTTATTGAAGTAATTATTTCACTACATATCACTGTATAGGTGACAGTCCTGTGAAAAACATGACATTGATTTTATGCAAGAATTAATTTTTTTTCAAAGAAATAAGGGAAAGATATATAATAATTCTCCTTTCCCAAACCAATTTCATAAGCCATTTTCTCTGGGGTCCCCCCAAAGACTTCTGAACTAAGATAACAAGAGGCCTCGTCCAAGTGAATCCTAAATGCTGGTTGAAGAATCTACATATAATGAGACATCTTTAATATAAAGTATCTTTTCAGTCCAGCAGTCCACATACAACTAGTCATAGCAAAACTGTTGAGGTGTGCTGTCTGTTCCGCATGGAATATTATTCTCCTGCTCTTCACAGCCTGAATCCTTCCTGCCCTTCACATCTCAGCTTAAATGTCACCTGCTCAGAGAAGTCTTCCCTGACCAATCTAAAAGAGGCTTCTACCCTCTGCTCTCTCTCAGAGCTCCCTACTCTTTTTCTATATAAAAGTTATCCCAGTTTTTGATCTATATCTATTTTTTCTATTTATTTGTTTATAGTATACCTCTGCTGGTAGACATAAATTCCATGAGGGCAGGAACACTATCTGCTTTATTCACCACTATAGGACGAGGGCCTAACCCAATAAACTTTTAAAATAAATTAATGTGGGGCCGGCCCCGTGGTGTAGCGGTTAAGTGCTCGCGCTCCTCTGTTGGCAGCCCGGGTTCGGATCCCAGGCGCCCACCGAGGCACTGCTTGTCAGGCCATGCTGTGGTGGTGTCCCATGTAAAGTGGAGGAAGATGGGCACAGATGTTAGCCCAAGGCCAGTCTTCCTCAGCAAAAAGAGGAGGATTGGCAGATGTTAGCTCAGAGCTGATCTTCCTCACAAAAAAACAATAAATTAAATTAATGAAAAAATAAAAATAAATAAAGTGTGTCTTCAGGGGTCTCTGGTTCTCAAACTTTGCGGTATATAAGAATTCCTTGGAGATTTCTTAGATACACCACCAAAAGCACCAGTGATTAAAGAGAAGTTTGATATGTTGGATTTCATCAAAATTAAAAACTTTAGTGCTTCCAAGGACACACCAAGAAAATGAAAAGACAACTCACAGAATGGGATAAAATATTTGCAAGTCATATACCTGATAAAGGACTTATATTCAGAATATATAAACTCCTACAACTCAATAATAAAAAAGATAAACCACCCATTTTTAAAATGGGCAAAGGATCTGAGCACACATTTCTTCCAAGAAGGTATGTAAATGGCCAACAGGCAGGGGGAAAGCTGCTGGGCATCTTAGTCATTAGGGAAATGCATATCAAAACAAGTTTCCACGTCACACCTACTAGCACAGCTGTAATAAAAAAGAAAATAACCAGTATTGTGGAAGATGTAGAGAAATTAAAACTCTTGTGTGTTGCTGGTGGGAATGTAAAATTATGTAGCCACTTTAGAAAACAGTTTGGCAGTTCCTCAAAATGTTAAACATAAAGTGACCAAACAACCCAGCAATTCTACTTCTAGGTCTCTACCTAAGAGAAATAAAAACATACATCCACACAAAAATCTGTCTACTAACAGTTCACAGCAGCATTATTCAGAATAGCGAAAAAGTGAAAAAAAACCAAATGTCTATCAGTTGATGAATGGATAAACAAAATGTGGTCTATCCATACAATGGAATATTAGCTGTAAAAAGGGGTGAAGTACTGACACGTGCTACCACGTGGATGAACCTTGAAAACACTATTTATGCTAAGTGAAAGAAGCCAGTCACAAAAGGCCACATATTATATGATTCCATTTATATGAAATATCCGGAATAGGTAAATCTATAAAGACAGAAAGAAGATTAGTGATTGCCTAGTACTGGGTGTGGAGTGGTATGGGGAGTGACTGCTAATGGGTACAACATTTCTTTTGGAGATGATGAAATGTTCTAAAATTAGATTATGGTGATGGTTGGACAACTCTGTGAATATACTAAAAACCAGTGAATTATACATTTTAAGCAAATGAAGTTTATTGTATGTAAATTATGTCTCAATAAAGCTCTTTTAAAATAAAAGAAACCCTTGGGGAGTTTGTTAAAATGCTGAGTTTCAGGCCCCATCGCCAGAGACCTGACTCTTGAGGACTTGTGGACACTGCTGTTGGCTGCTCAGTATCCACTCCCTCTGTTGCGGGGAGCGTGCCCTCAAATTTCCTGTGGAAATCACTGCTTTCCCTTGAGGGTCAGCAGGACGGTTTGCATAGGATTGACCTCTCCCCCAGCTCAAGAGTAGACTCTGCTTGTCAGCCTTTCCCGTCGTTTTCAACCACGTGATTGATTCAGGGGTGCAGACAGGTCGGAATGAAGCCTCCAGGACATTTTGCTGAGAATACTGGGTGGAACCAAAGCTTAGGAAGCAGAGTGGAGAAAACAGGGTTGGGGTGAGAAATAGGAGAATTTAGGTCCTGACCAAACTATTTGATCCTGGGTAAAGCCTTCCCTGAAGCTGATGTACCCCTGGACTGATCAGTTACAGGAGACAATAAATATTTTTTATTAAGCCAGGTGGGTTTATTTCTCTGTTACTTGGAACAGAAAGCATCTAACTCAGTGGTTCTGCATATGACATTTTGGAAAACTGTGGGGACATTTTGGGGTTGTCACAATGATTAGAGGGCGTTTAGTGGGTGAGGGCCAAAGATACCAGATGTCTCACAGAGTATGACAAAGGCAGCAATTCCCCTCACACGTGACTTTTGAAAGACCCAGGAAAAAGCTGCTTATAGTTTTCTAAGTCTAGAACCAAACTATGTTACATCTAAGCAC